AAATGCAAGTTATAAGACATCATTTGTTTTATGGTTTCTGTTTCTTTATAAAAATAGACATATTCTAACCAGGTGGCGGTGTCTTACACCTGTAATTCCAGCTTCTCAGAAGGCAGAGATCAGGAGGATCACAGTTGTAAGCCAGCCAGGCAAACAGTTCATGAGACCCTATCTCAAAAAAAAAAAAAAAAAACCATCACAAAAAAGGGCTGGCAGAGTGATGTAAGTGGTTGAGAGCCTGCCTAGCAAGTGTGAGGCCCTGAGTTCAAACCCCACTACTGCTAAAAAGAAAAATATATATACATAGTTCTATGTAGGTGCTGGACTGATTAAATGTCCTGCCTTGGTGGTCATGGAAACAAAAGCTTTGGGCAAAAAATTAACATAAAATCCAGTCTTCTTAAGCATATTTAATGACACTTGAATTGGCCTTTAGAAAAAGAAAAGACAAGAAAAAAATATAGGAAAAGGAAAAAAATTCAAACCACAAGAAAATCTCACATATGTTATTATGTCATTTAAAATTTATGCCCCAAACCTTTGCACACAAGCATGCACATGAATGCACACATACAAATGCAATGCTTACAGAAGAAAGGGCGAAGACTGGTGGAGTGGCTCAAGTGGTGGAACTTCTGCTAGCAAGTGTGAGGCTCTGAGTTCAAACCCCAGTGCCATGAAAAAAAAAAAGAAGAAGAAAAAGAAAAGGCGAAATGCAATGGGTTGATATATCAGTTGAGTTAATATAATGGGAAGTGTCTTCTCTTTCCTGTTATATAATTACTCAGTTTATCACTTCTTTGCCATATGTATATATTATTCCTAGGAATTTTATGAAATTTCCAGGTAAACCACTGTAATGGACAGTTACGCTATTGGAAAGTATCCATCACTCAATGCTGAATAAAGAAACAGTGGTGGAAAACTCTACCATTTTAACCAGGATGGAATTGAAGACAATAAATGATGGTGTGCTCATCTATGGGTGAATGTGTGTGTGCTTCAAGTACCTTGTTAACAAATAGGGGAGTTTGTTGATGTGCAGTAGGCTATCTATATTCACTTAGTTAAATAATATCAGCTTTCATGAACACTTGGACATTTTCTTTATTACATTTGAACACACACACCTATTAGTGCCCAATAGTATCACCCCTGGGGCAGATTGACTTGGGATAAGTAATTCCATATGGCTTTCCTAGATGTGTGTATTCTCCAAGATTTTCATGATGCTTCTATTTGTGATCCAATAACAAATTCAGATCAAGTGTGTGCACAAGTAATTGTTGGTGAAAACTTACCTTGCTGTCCACACCAGGGAGTCTTAAGGAGCCTGTATTCCCGAGCATACTTATCAAGAGGTATGAAGATACAACCACATCTTCCAAGTCTTTGTGTGTTTGAGGGGCATTACGTTTATAAATAGATGTTGTATATTGTTAAGATGCATGTCTAATTTTGAGATATTCCAAATGTAAAAGGCCACTCTTTAAAAATAGTATTTCAAAGAATATACAATGAAGTTTGAAAGGTTTTCTAAGTATAGAAAACACATTTGAACACTGAAAGTATAAAGGGATTTGAATGTTATTTTTAAAAAGCTTTTAGATGTGCATAAGCAGGAGATGAGAATAACATTTTGAAATTCATTCATTTTTTTTCCAGCAATACTGGGGATTGAACCCAGGGCCTCACAAGCACACTATCACTTGAGCCAACCCACCCCCCCGGCCCCGCCAGCCTTTTTGTTTTTATTTTGTTTTTGAGATATGGTCTCACTAACTTTGCTTGGACTGGTCATGAACTCCTGCCTCTGGAGAAGCTGGGATTATAAATGTGTACTACCACATCAGGCTAAAAGTCTTTATGCTTATTGGAATTGAACCACCAGTGATTTTTAGCTTTATAATTTCTCAGAATTTGAATAGTTTGCCTGCAGCAGGTATTGTTTGAAGTTTCTTAGATAATAAGACTCTTTCTAAGTTCTGGGGATGTGGTTCAAGTGGCAGAACACTTGCCTAGCAACCAGAAGTCCCTGAGTTCAAACCCCAGAAACACACACAAAAAAGATTCGTCTTAGATTAGAATAAAGAAATTTACATATGTGTATGGGAACATGTAAAGTGTATAATATAATGATGATTTTGTTTAAAATTACCTTTAAAAAATAAAATAAAATTACCTTTGGTATTCAATTATTTTAAAGAGAAAACCACACACATTTATATCCATACATTGTTCAAAAGTTGCTTATATATGTGTATGTGTGTGTATATATATATATATATATATATATATATATACGAATATATAGTACTGGGAATTGAACCCAAGGCCTCCCACTTGTTAGGTAACCACTCTACCACTGAGCTAGACCCTTAGTCTTCTGAAAATTATATATTTTTAACTATGATAATTATTATAGTAACAATGCAATAAAACTTTAGAAGTCTCTGTCCACATATGCATGTGTGTGGATATATATTTATATATGCATGTATACACATATGTGTATGTACATATACAAACAGGTATTTAGCTTCACGTATAACACATATTAAAATGGCACTTTCACATGTCAGAGTGCTGATCATATTTTCACCCATGATTCATGGGTACTTTGTCATATCATGTTTCCAATGATACACATGACTTAATTTTTAGGAACTAAGTAAATATAATGGGAAACACTGGTGAGAGTTTATAGATGAGTCTAAAAACGTGATATGCACCAACAAAACTATATGACAGCAACACACTCATTCTATATAGTCTGTGGTGTTAATGCAGCAAAGTATTTATTCTCTATAATTGGTCTCTGCTGTCTACAACAAATGCTGCTTTCTAAAATACACCAGTCACAGCCCCCCTACGGCAATGATAATGGAAAGGTAAGTGTACATTAGTTAGGAAAACAAAATTAGAAAAGTACAGATGAACTTACTGGTTCTCCTGCAAGTTACCTGTCTCCTGTATTGCCAGGGAGCCCTGCAAACCCTACACAAATACATGTGAAGCTTAGGTTTTTTTTTTTTTTTTTTTTTTTTTGTGTGTGTGTGTGTGTAACTGGGATTTGAACTCGGGGCTTCACACTTGCAAAGCAGGTGCTCTACTGCTTGAGCCACAAAAATGTGAAACTTGTAGGAAAAAAAATGTGAATGCCTTCACCTTGAAGCTTTGATAGACTACACCTAGATTATTGATGCAATATACAAACTTTATTTATACAGTAATGTAATCTATTCTTACAGTTTACATAATAAAATAAGATTGAAATTTTTTAAATTAAAACATAGGTTAACATTTTTTGGAGGCTGTGCATGGTGGGTTGCATCTGTAATTCCAGCACTAAGGAGGCTGAGGCAACAGAATTTCCAGTTTGAAGTCAGCCTGGGCTGCATACCAAGACCTTGTCTTAAATAAAAATAATAATAATAACAATTTCGAGAGGGGGGACCCCTACATCTTCTGAGGCATATGTGTATCGCTATGATTCAGCATTTGTTTTAGAGTATATATATTGTACATGTCAGCATAATAAAGATTAGAAAATATAGGTCTTCAAATCATGGTATCTATGGGTGGCATCATAAGCATTAAGTTTCCAGGGTTTTTCTTTTCTTTTCTTTTTTTTGTGGCACTGGGGTTTGAACTCAGGGCCTCATGCTTGCTATGCAGGTGCTTTACCACTTGAGTCAATCCACCAACTCAGTTTCCAGTTCTTAAATAAGTGTTTTATGAGCTGAAAATTTCTTCACCAAGTTTCTAATATTTTTAGTGAATGTGCCAATCAAGAAGCATTTTGCAAGTGTTTCATTTACCAAAAATTTAGGTTATGCAAATTTTTCATAATTGCAAACTGCTTAGGAAACAAATAAAAATGTGATCTAAAACCATGGCATACATATGAATCTTATTTTAACGTAAACTTGTTTTAAGCTAAATACAGATGTTTGTGTGTATATATTGAAATGAGTACATGAGGACATCAAAATTGAATTTGTATATATATATATATATATATATATATGTCTTGAAATAGTATGTGAAAATTTATTGTACTGTTTGTGACAGCGCTTTGCTCTCGATCAGCACATGGTTATTTTCTGAGTCCTTTGCAAGTGTCATGCCTTAGCTACTTACAAGAAAATCCTAGAAGACTGATTCTTAGGTGACATACACAATAAAGTTTTAGGAAGTCATTGATTGAATCAGTTTCTTCAGATTAGAATTTATCTATATTTGAGTAGACAGATACCTCTCCAACTGGGCCTTTACAGCACGTAGTCTTGAAAACTAACTAGACACGTAACTTCGAGTTTCAGAAAAATAGTAGCTTCTCCCTCAACATACAGTCCTAATGCCCAGGCCAGAAAATGGAGTAAGACCCCCAGAGGACCTGGGAAATGAGCCAGGTCCAGAAGCACATGTACTGGTACCTAGATTTGCAGTTGTCCAAGCCCTTAGGGGTAACCATTTTCTTTTCCCACTAGACCTGGATCCCTGAGGTTTGTCCCCTGATACGCCAAGACAATTTGGTACCATGAGAAAATCTTGGAGGCACAATGGTGAGTGAACTAAAATCAGAATTGTCACGACTAGGTAGACGAAAATTGAATTCTTGAACTGAAGCAACCCATCGGTTTGATTTTTAGATGAAAACCAAAAGCAAAATCACAACAATATAAACAGTTTCTTGAAACTGGGCAAGAAGAGCAGCAGCCATAGTTCCTGGGTGCCTTTGTCTCTGGGTCCCATTCTTTTTAACACTGGATGGAAGGGAGAATAGGGCTAGGGGACAGGGACAGTGTTAAGATTCTTGGAGCAACACTGCCATCATAAGGACAAATCTGGAAGATTTCTTTCCTTGGAAAGAAAGATTCTTCTTTCTTTGGTTTGAAAGATCCAAGTTGTCTGAAAATTGAGCAGGCCTGGGACAAGCTGGATCTGTTTCTCTCCATGAGGCCTACTTAGGAGGGGTCCAGATATAGAAGGCCGCCTGCTGGAGGCAAGATTTAAGTCTGCAACTGCCAGGAAGTCCAGACACAGGAAATCCTGGGGTGAAGTGTTAGTATTTTCCCAGTGTGGGCGGGACTACAGGAAGCCACCAGCAGCCTCCGGATATTTGTCTCTCTCCCTGCCCCCTCAGAGCATGGGAAAGGCTGACACGTGGTATCCAGGAGCTCTGGGTCTCGGCCCTTTTTAGGTAGCAGAACCATGTGCACCCAAATTTTTTGGAGCTAGAAGGGTGTTGGGGAGAATGGTTAGGACTTCTACTAGGAGTGTAGACCACACGCAAACTGAAGGGGATCAAAAACCAGTGAAGATGACTGAAGATGAACCAACATTTAAAAAGTCCTTGTCTGCTGGAGGTGGCATTACCTGTGACCTTCTTCACTTCATACATGGCTGTTGTAGCAGGTACATTGTAAAGAAGCGTGGTTGGTTCTATAAATGCAAAAACAGGCAAAATTTTAAAGCATGTCAGTATTTGAAAGAATATTTAATGATTTTTAAAACGTTAAAGCTACAGATGAGGAAAATGTTATAATGCCCAAAGTAAATGGGAATTTGAACGATTTTTAAATGAACATATTGCATGTGCAGAGTAAGAATGCATGGCAAGGCCATTTGGTTGGTTGTACTGTGATGGAGCTGGCATTTATCATCTACTTTATAATTTATGAAGATTTGCATACTTTTGCCAGCAGCAGGTAAACTATTATAATTTCTTGGAATAGAAAGGTCTTAGTAAAATACCAAAAAAAATTCCAAACACTCAGAAATATGATATGCAAGTATGCAAATGGTTTAAGACTTTAGTGTTGAAGATTTTGTGTGAAAACATACCCAGAATGCATCCAATTATGTTTGAAGAGAAGCAAACGTGTAGATGGCTATATCCAACTATATATGTGTGAACATTTTTCAAAGTTTCACATTTACAATCATGGTCGGCATTAAACCTAGTATGAGTGTGTAATTCAACTTGAAATTCTCAGTGGATGTAGTCATACCTGTATTTGCACTTACATTTATACAGAGAGATTGTTGAACAAGTCTAGCTGCATGTAGAGTGTGAGTGCATTCACTTAAAAGTCTTCTTAATTTGAGAATTACCAGTCCCTGCTAAATTTAGGCCCTCAAGTATCAAGCAGATACTTGAGCAGGTATAGTGATTATTTAATTTCTAAACTAGTATGCTTTTTCTAGCTTTATTGAGATATGGTTGTCAAATGAAAATTAAATATATTTACGGTTTGCAGCATGTTTTTATTTGTTTGCATTATGAAATGATTACCACAATCAAGTCAATTAATAGTTACCTTTTTTTTGCACGTGTGGTGAGAATCTTTGAGGTCCTTCATAAAAATTTTCAAGAAAAATATGAATGTCAACCTTCAGTTATTGAATTCTTGTTGCTATATAGTTTTTCGAAAAAAATTCTAAGAAAAAAGTTGGTGTAAATTCTGAAAAGAATATAAAAAAGAAATGCTAATATTCGTAGGCATAAGCACATAGTGTAATCATTGTTATTATATAGCAATGGTTAGGTAAGGGATGCTTCAAGATTAAAATTTTGAGTGGTAACATTATAGATATTTTATGTCCTATATATACAGTTTTAAAAATTAAGCAAGAATCTAATATTCTTTAATGGATGGGTTAATGAAGAAATGCTTTGGAAATGTTTTATTGTCTAAAATCCTGAAAACAAATGTTTCAGAAATGAAAATATTGAATTTAAAATGTGATGCACATATAAATACAATCTCATTATGTTTGTTGTAGTGTATCACTATAAATATAGATCTATATGTGTGAGTTGAAAAAATGGAGTAAATATGCAAAGAGTTATTAGTGCTTAATACAAGATTTTATGATAGTGCTTTTACTCTCGATCAATGTATGGTGATTTTCTAAACTCTTTACAAGTACTATGTCTTAATGAGAAAACACTGTAAGACTGACTCCTAAGACTTAATAAATGGTACATACATACATAGTAAAATCACAGAAAGCCATTGGAGGTCATATAATAACCTGCATGAAAGAAACGTGCTTGTGTTTCTGTGTTAAATAATGAAGCAATTGGACAAAACTCTTGTCCCTTTTGATTGGAACACATATAAGTTTGAGTATATATGTGACTTTCAAGAGGGACACGGTATGGAATTCGGACGTGAGAGCTATCTGGATCCTCCTTTTAGGGTTCCAGCCATGATTGCCTCCCACTGAGCACAAAAGACTGAAGTCCCAGGTTAGAAAATGGAGGATTCCCAGGGAATCTGGTAGTGAAGCAAGTCATGTGACCTGGTGCCTAGTTTGTCTTTCTCAAGGCCCTTACTCCTTTGTCTTCACTTTCTTGGGCCTGGATTGCTGGGAATCGCTCACTGAAGCAAATGACTTGGGAAACTGTTGGAAATCGAGGCTGAATGAAGAGCAGAGCCTTGGTAGAGTGGAGAGAAATCTTGAAAACAAGCGTAGCTGATGGAACTGGGTGGTATAGGCCTCAGTTTGATTTCAAATGGAAAACAGAAGCAAAAGTGATCACAAGGAGCAGATTTTTCCCAAACAGGGCAAACAGCATGGCAGCTTTGTTGACTGGCTCCTTTGTCTCACGTTGGCTTTTTTCAGATTGAATGGGTAGGAGTAGGAGGGTCTGGGAGGCTGAGCTAATCAGCTTTTCCCTGAGCAATACTGCCATCAAGAGGAAGTAGTTTGACAAAACCCTAAGTTGGGAGTGAAGATTCCAGGAGACCTAGCAGTTGAGAAAGGTTGAAACTTTTGTAATGTTGACTGGACTTTGGTCCTGAACAGGTGTCCTTCACTTCAAATGAGGAGCTCTGGACAAAGGCAGGATCCTAGAGAAGTTGTTGGCAGGTAGGGTACAGGACTCAGTGGGCAGCTTCTAAGTGGGTCAAGTACAGGAAATAGTGGGGCTTAGAAACCTACCTGTGAGAGTGAGTCTAAACAAATCACTAGGGTCTTTTTCGGAAGGATTCTGAGCATTTATCTCTTTGACATTTATGCCCCTTGGACAATGAGTGGGCTAGCACAAGGGGCCACCAGTGTTGGAGAGCTGTGGTTAGGAAGGGGACTTTTATTCCAAGTGTCATCGAACAAGCAACTGGTGAGCTTTCTAGAGTCTCAGAGACAATCAAAAGTCTGTGGCTCATGCCTGTAATCCTAGCTATTCAGGAGGCAGAGATCAGGAGGATCACAGTTTGAATTCAGCCCAGGGAAATAGTTTGCAAGACCCTATCTCAAAAATACCTGACACAGAAAAGGGCTGGTGGAGTGGCTCCAGTGGTAGAGTGTCTGCCTAGCAAACATGAACCCTGAGTTCAAATCCCAGTACTGCTGCCAAAAAAAGAAAAAAAGGTCTGGTACCCATTTCTTGGAGCAAGAAGGGCCTGAGGAAAAGGAGTATTGCCACTGTTCCAAGCCAGTAAATTCTAGAACATCAATAGGAATGAAGATATACTCAAACAGAAGGTCAGGAGGCATTTTCTGAGCCCAAGAGGTAACAGCTACAGTGGCTATGCAGCTTTTCTCTAGAGTCCAGTGTGAAGACATACTGAATTAGAGGGACCTGCTCTTATTTCAGCTGTTATAAGGGGACAGAAATGGGTTCCTTAGCAGTTGACATTCTCCTAAGAAAGATGAGACTCTTGTGGCTTGGGATCTAACTGCTCGTTCATGTTAGCAAGTATTAGTCTCTCTGTCTGCTTCTTAGACTTTTTCTAATGAAAGTTCTGTGTAGGTCTAACAAGATAGCTTTCTATGGGAAGTTCAGCACACCAGGAACTCAATAACACTTGCTCACAGCGTAAGGAGAAATGCCTAAAATGTCGTAGGAGTCACTGCATGTGACCATTTCCCTCCTCTGTTCCAATAATAATGTCAGGTGCTAACTACTTACAGAAGAGAAAGGAATGTTATTCTGGTGCACTGTTCTTAATGTTTGATCACACCTTAACTGTTTACCCAGGGTGGAGCTGTCACCTCTACTAGCATCTATCCATTTCCATAAGGACTCAGAGTTCCTCTGGAACTCTGATATCCATACCTGGGTCTAGCTGTGCTTGAGGATGTTCTTAGTTGAAGTCAAGCCACCCTTTGAAGGTATAAGGCAACCTCTGACTTTGACCCACTTTGGCTAAGCAAGTGATAGTGAGAAGTCCAGCATCAGCTGAGTTCAGCTGCCTGCTTTGAAGTAATAGTTTCCCCATATGCTAGACTGGGGAAGCCAGATGTGTCAAGACAGTGAGTTACAACTATGGGTGACAAAAAAGGTAGCCCTAGTCCTGGTATCTCTCAGGCCAAGGAATTTTGTATTCATATACATTTTGGTTTACATTAAGAGACTGATCTGGTGGGAGGGAGGGAAGGGGTAGTGGTGGTGGATGGAAGTACCTTACTGAGTTCCAGAAATTCAAGCATGACACTATGACCAATAGCTGGAGGTTGTAATTACTGTCAACTCTAATTACTGGTCAGTCATTGCACTCATCTCAGACATAAGCTGTTTAAAAAGGAAACCCACCTAGCATGGAAGGTGGCAAAGGAAAGAGCCATCTCTTTCTCTTACCAGAGTCTTAAATTTACAAGTACCAAAGTAAATTGTAGTTCAAGTTCCCCCGGAATGCCTCTTGTACTTTAAGACTCAATAAAAACGTCATTCACATCACCCAGTTTGTGTAATAATTTCTAGAACTGGGAACCGGGTGAGACTGTTAACATTGGTTCATCTCTTTGAAGTTCAACATCAGTTAACCTTTCTCACGGGCATCCCTTTGTCCAGAGACTGCTCTTGAAAGTGACCATATAGCTACACGTCACAAGAAAGTGAAGAGGTGGGGTCTGTCTTCTTATTACAGACGTGCTTAATTGAAGTTAAACACAAAAACATAGATTTTTTTTTAAAGCGAATTGGTACAAAGGAAGTATGTGGAAGCCTTTAAACCAAAAAACTAACTGTAATTTTCTAGTGCCTCTAATGGCTTGCCTTCAAGTTTTCACTTATTCTTTTTTGGGGCCAGGGGAGGATGGTACGCAAGTTTGAACTCAGTGCTGCGTTTGCTGGCAGGCTTCCTATCACTTCAGCCACAGCCTCAGTACTTAGCTTATTCTTATCTAGATTTGAAATGTTAAAAACACCAAAAGTAATCTACATGTTTAATGCAATTCCCATCAAAATTCCAATGACATTCATTAAAGAGATTGAAAAATCTACCATTAAATTTATATGGAAACACAAGAGGCCACGAATAGCCAAGGCAATACTCAGTCAAAAGAACAATGCAGGAGGTATCACAATACCTGACTTCAAACTATATTACAAAGCAATAACAATGAAATGTTAAAAACAAGAAAAAGTTATATTTGAAAATTTTAAAAGACCAACAACCCGATGC